TTAAATTGTGGCGGAATGCTACAAGTTCTTCAAATACCTATAGAATGATAGGTTCTTTTTTGTGAGTGTAAAACACTAAAATACACCATTCTGATATGCATTTATTGGTTACTGTGTAAGGGTGGGAATATAGGAAACAGGATGTTCATAAACCTTTACACACATTTACATCAATACTAACACTAACTCCTAATCACCCAGGAGGTCAACTAACATCCAAATACTTAACAAGTTTGTTGGATTGGATACAACTTTGTACAGAGCCACATCATAAATATTTTCTCTCACTTTTATAAAGTACTTTAGACAATTCTTGTTGCAACCACTATACTGTAAAGAAGCCACTAAATTCTACCCCACTGTGTTCTCAGAGCCGAGAGTCAAATAGACACTGTAGGTAACATCCGCTTATTGACTTATTGGATCAGCTCAAACTTTGTACAAAGTCATAATATAAGCATTTTATAATACTTTAGACAATTGTCATTGAAACCATTATACTGTCCACAAGTTGATAAATCCTACCCAACTGTGTTATCAAAGCAGGGAAGTTCTGGAAATTGTGCCGCATGAGCTTATTTCATACTGATGTTGCCAAACTAAGTAAGGAGGGGCAATTCATTGCTTTAAATTTAGCAAGTTTCTACTTCAGCGGCTAACAGTTGAAAAATAAGTGTGAAAAGATTAGAAGAAAATTTCAGGAATTTTACTTTGGAATTTAGTGATCCATACTGACAGTACTATTCATTTTGTTTTATCAAGTTTCTAAGTCAACTCCTATCAATAAAAATTACACCATAAAATAAGTGTGAGAAGTATAAACACTGACTTTAAGTCCTTTGAAATTTTGTTATCAATACTATGCATTTTATTTTGCACTTTGCAACCTTGATTTTCATTATACTTTGATAACTTGTCTTACAACCTGGAGAATCAAGTATAACGTTATAGTAGAGAAAATGACAGATTAAATACAAAGAATTACTGAAAAATGTTTGATATTTAATTATGAGTTTTTTTCATTTGTTTTATTTATTTATTATTACAAAAATAACTAAAACGTAAAAAAATAGAAACTTATTAGGTAAGATAAGGAAAAAAATCTTCAAACCCAATTCAAAGGTGAATAAAACAAAAAATTAATAAATATAAATAGATGTATGCTATTACAAGAATTAAGCAATTTAAAATAAACAATGTGGTTTCCTATTACAATTTGCAGTCATTCTAGAACAAAAGAAAGGGAAATTTAGATTTATTTCCTAATTTTTATTATGAGGTTGGTCAAATCAACTAATACCATGTAGAGATAGGGTAGAGAAAATAGCAGATAAAATGTAAAGTTTTACTGAAAAAACATTTTAAATGTATTTAGGAGGTTTTAGAGATTGTGCAAATGAAAATTGATATTTTTTAGGTGAAGAGAAATATTTTTCATCTTAACATGAAAATTACTTTGCACTCGGACGAGTAAAAAAAAACTTGACATATTCACGGATTTTTTCAATATAAAAGACTTGTAATGTTTACTGAATGTCTGCCAAATTTTGTGAAGATATGCATACTATATTAAAAGTTAGTAGTATCAAAACTATAACGACTTTAAACAAGTACAAAGTGGTCACGTGTTTAGTCAATTTGACTGAGCCTTTGTGGAAAAAGGATTAAATAGACACATTTTCCAAAGTTAGTACATGAAGTACTTGTCATATATACTAATACATCAAAACATGTGCTGTGGAAAAAGTATTTGTCATTGTTTGTTGTTTATTGGAGATTAATGGCACAAAGCATCAATGCCTATCTGGGCCAAGAGTATTTTGACAATGTTTGTAGAAAAAACATAGATTTGTGAATTTTGTAAAACATCAAGTTAATGAAGTTTTTACTTAAATAAGCTATGAAATGTTTTATAAATTTAATAGTTATGTGTTTTATGCTATGTATCAGAAATTTGAGGCTATATGGATTTTGGTATTTTGAAAATGGCACAGGTTATATATATATTCTGGAATTTTAGTTATCCATGTTTCAATCTGGAACTCATGTGCTTGGCTCAACCTTTCTTCGTCCAGTGGCCACCATTGTCTACCTCTTCCTTATTGACATCATTCACTAACATCACATGACATCAACAACTACACATGGTTTATCACCACAGCACTGACTGACTTTCTGTCGGTTTTCTCAGCTGGCTTGGGGAGGCATTCGTCACTCTCATCAAAAACAATGTGCTCGCACTTCTTAGTTTATCCTACTAAGCCCATTAGCTAACTCATACTTAAGTATATTCTACAGTTTCCCTTCCAAGAAGTGAAGAGAAAAAACAACTTTTTTACCACACCAGTCAGATCCTCCAATTGCTTTGGGGCACGAAAGAGTTCAAACCTAAATACCTGCCAAGATTTTTTGTTTGTTTTGTAGTTATCCATGAACTCTGTTGTTCTGGTTACACTACCATTTGATGTTAATTATAAAACTAAATATGCTAACTCTTTGTTTAAAAGAAGTGCAGAAGCTGCAAGGTTTTTTTTTTTACCAAAAGCTTGCTACTTGATGGTGAAAACAAATTAATGAGGAAGAAAAACTTGAGCATCTTGTATTCAAAATCTAAGTTTTAGTTTGTTTGAATTGCTCAGAAAGTAGATATTGAACACAAATCATCACACACACATTACTATTTAATCATTCAAGCCCTTACAGTTTGAGATTGGTTTTTCATATCAAAAGAGTATATTTCTGTGCTTCTAAGAAAAAAATGACTAAATAAAATCAGAAAAATTGTGATCATATGAAAGCAACACAGGTTAAAGACATTTATGAAACATCTATACACTAATTCTAAAAACTATTGTTCTCATCTTACAACTGATAGTTTCTACAATTTAGAAATAGTTGACACAAACACTAAACTACATAAATATCCATTATGTATACATACATACATATTTTTTAACAGAAGTTTATTATGTTTACACTTATATTTACCAAAAAAAAAAATTATTTTCAGCAGAAACCACAAATGAAAAATAATTGTCTAACAAAACCAAATTTTCAAAACTAGATTTAAAGGCTCAAACTTGCACATCAATAAGATCTAGAAATCCTGCTGAAAAATATCTGTATTCTGCCTAGAAAGTGGTACTAGAATGTTTTTGCACACCACCAAACAAGTATCTACAAACAAGAGACCAATGTTATGCCTTACAGGTCTTTGGATAATAATTAAAACCCAACTGCTGAAGTTGACATTCAAGCTCTCATTCCTGTAATTAAAGCATAAGGTCAATATACAGTTTTAACAGAAGACAAAAAATTAAATTTGCCTTCTATAGTTATTATGATAATACACTACATCACATAAACTTTTCCCCTAACCATTATGCTGTTAAAAATTTGAATTTAGCTATACAAATGATGTTAAATAGCTATGAATAAAACCTAACATGCATGTGTTAGCCATACATTTATCAGGAAGCAAATTACCAATCTGAAAGAAATTTTAAAATTTCTTGTGTTAAACTGCCATACTTTCTATATGATTCATCACTAGAACTTGAAGGGCAAGATTCTTGGATATTTAAATTCCTAGAACTGCAGAGGTTGGTGTAATTTTATTAAATTTCATTATTTTGTATTGCTTTAATGTATAGCTGCAGAATGGATTATATTCACTGTTTCTAACACATGAACTGAACCCTGAATCCTACAATACAAGTCCTCAATCTTACTGCTGAGTCACAAGAGGACTAAATATTATCAAACTTTGATATAATCCTTGTATATGGGTCTTTTAAAGTACTTTCTGATTTAGGATATTCAATAAATAAGAGAATAATGCAAGTTTTATTAAAATGACCCAAATTTAACAAATTGGATGTCTTAATTTGCTGGTGAATGAAACAAGGTATAACTGTGTTCACAAAACACATTCACTAGTATCCAATAAAACTACATAACAAAACAGGACTTACCATGTTTATAAAGATAGCTTGAATGAAACGAACAACCTCTAGAGTTACCTGAAGACTGATGGGTATCAAGTTGTTGTACAGAACAATGAAAGTTAAGAATGTATATCCAAAATTTATGCTGCTTAAATCTGTAAAAAATAATTGTATACAGAATGTTTTGAGCTCAATACTAAATAAAGCTAACATATGATTAGATAGCAATGACAAATCATGAAGGAATTACAAATAGCAGTACTTCTGATATCAATAAATCTACTCTTACAACAATGAAATCTTCTTGAAATCCTAGAATCTGAACTTCCACACAGTTAAGTTAAACTTGTTATGTCACAATTGTAAGTAATAAGTAAAGGTTTATACAAATGCATAATCATAACAAAATACTATTTTACTTTTGAAAAAATTATGTATACTAGTTATAAATATCAAAGCCACAATAAATAACTAAAACATGATTAAAACTATCAATATAAAAACATTATAAACTGAATTTTTTAAACTAAAATACTATAGCTATAACAAAATGTGGCTTAACAACATCTTGAAATGGAACCAATATGGATGTCACAGGATGAAAAAAATTTGTTTTTTAATATTACCAGAAATATTAAGGACATGTTCTAATTTATTAACAAGTATTACAACACTAGATGTAATAAGTATACTATATTTTGTAATACTAGAAATACATGTGAAATATTGCACTATTCGCCTTATTTTTACTTTATACTTCTAGAAATATACTATCCAATGCTTCCACAGTAGTCATTTTGTATCCCTAGAAATACACTACAGCAGTTTTTTCTTGGTCTTCATTTATGCATGGCTGGAAATATGATATAGCAATGTTTGCTTTATATTACATCATAAGAAATAAATCATACTCATGCTTTAACTATGTTATTTTGTATCATTTAAAACATAATGTAACACTCTTTGCTTAATACTGATTTCGTATTGATATAATTGTTTATAGCAAGTTTGTCACTATTCTCAAAGTGTTCTTTGTTTGAAGAAAGCACAAATCCTCCTGATTTTTTAAACAAGCTGATAAAGTCAGGGTCAAGGAGATGCAGCTAAGGAAACCAGAGTGGGGGAAGAGAACACATACTTTAAAAGCCTAGCATACACACGATAAGCTGAAGGAAAAAAATATCAGAAAAAAATTAAACTGTAGAGTCTAGAATAATAGAGGATAGAGTTATAACATTTTGTAAAATTAAAACAGACTTACAATTTCATTAAGGTAATGTTTCCTAGAATTATAATTTCAATGGTAATCCTTGTTAAGTAGTCAAAATACTTTCTGCTATCCTAGTATTACATATAAAGCATTTGAGCTTAACAAACCAATCTGTTGGTTTATTACATTGCTAGCATTAACAGGTTCATCACGGTTCGTTAATACACATATCACTGAATGTCTTTTTTTTAACTTACATTTTTGTTATTCTATGGAAAAAAATCTTAGCAGTTGGGCCAATAGATCTCTCCCTGCTGCCACATCCATGCAAGTTTACATATACTTATCTATTACTTTAGAGTCTTTCATTGCTGGATCCAAAATGTTTAATACTTTAATTTGACAGCGGTTTTGTTCAAGAAGATTAACAAGTTTTTCTTCCGATTTAAGCGATATATTTGATATAGAAAAAAACATTTTTCTTTGGCATATGTCCATTGTTAGGGTAATTATAAACACTATGGAAATTTGCAATAGTCACCTAAAATTTTTAAATGACTAAATAGATATAAGGCAGTTAGTAATAGCACCTACCACCAACTATTGGGCTACTCTAAACAAATAATGGGATTTAATTGTCACTCTTAAAATGTTTCCATGGTCCTTACAGCATGATTTTTAATTTTTTTAACACTAACAAGATATGAACTAGATACTTCAGATCTATGGCCTAGCAAGCTAAGCAGTAGACCAATTCTGACCCATGGCTTTAGTAATTCACGTAATGTGCATGCATGTGAGCCTGTTGATCTGATATAACTCTAGAGACATCTTTAGTATAAATATCTTTTGTAATTATAACATATATTTACAATATAACAGTCTTGTTTCTCTTGTACTGCTGGATCATGCTGTACCTTACAAGTATTGTTCAAAACTCTTTTGTTCTAGTAATAAAACTTTTGTCGCCAAGTCCATAAACATACTTATATAAAAAAATACTGAAAACTTTCATATTTGCTGTAGAAAAAGATGGTGAACTGAACAGTAAACCTTCAGCTACTATTTTTCTTTTTCTGTTTCATTTATTTCACATGGCAAACTATGTACGACTACATGTTTTTAATATAAACAGATTATATTCTGCCTCTTTGTTAATTAGCTTGATTTTTTTATTGTTCACATAAGATTGAAACTAATAATTACTAGGTTGGAAAATATTTCAAACACACAAAAATCTGTAAAGTTAAAACTGAATTATACAAACATTTTAACATTCTTACAATAAATTTTAGTCTTAAAATGTTTTTTTCACATTTCTTTACATTATAATATTACTTGGCTTATGTTTCTTAGATAATGTAAGTTCAAGGTATCTTTATCTTAAAAAAAATTATTTCAGTTCTCCTTAATCCTTCCATAGATTTACTTTTTGAAAATACAATAATGAAAACAAAATATTTGTGATAATAAATAATACTAATTATATAAAAATAAAACATGTACAATCTAATATTCAAAGTTAAAAAATTTAAACCTGTAAAATCATATGCACTTAAATTTTACATTTTTAGGATTAAATGAATTTCAAACAAAGACATAAATACTGATAACCTTTCCTTGTTGCTCTGAATGTCGTTGATGAAATTCAGAGCATGCACCAACTTACCCAGAATTCTCCATTCTTCCACCTTCCACACGACTTACTGCGTATGTGTCACAAGAACTTAGATAAGTTCTGCTTTCCTATCATAATTCAAATTTCTGAGTTGCAGTTATGATGAAAAACCATGAATTGTCCAGATTTAGGAGTTAGATGAAAATATAATTCAGGTTAAGTACCTACTTGATATTCATTTAATCCTAAAAATGTAAAATTTAAATCACATAGACTTACATCTCTGAAGTACTGCTCGCCAAAAAAAACCAAACTTAAAAAAAGATAGAAACTAGGGAGAATGAAAAGTATACAAAAAAAAATAAAGATTATGAAAAAGGAGGGGAAGAAAACTGAACCACAGTAAAGATGTGGTTAAGCAGAGTCAGATAAGAATCCAGAACCAGAAATATTCAAAAAAATGCATTCAAAGAAAAATGAGTGAAACAAACCAACAATATTTAAAGACTAGACCTAAGAATACTCGTAATGAAGAGATTCTTCTCAGCTAGCATGTCTTCACCCTTAAAGTCCTTTCATTAATACAAAAAGGAAGTCATGTGTTTACCTTTGGAGCCAACAATGGGAGTACAGTTAGGAAAAATACTATATCCTGTACCTGTATTGGAAGATTTTTTGGAGGAACAGACCATTCAAACATTACAAGCTGACATAATCCTGTGGCTTTAGCCCCATTTAACCACATCTGATAAAGCCAATGACTAATAAATTCAGCCTAATCAAAGAGCACTCAATCAAAACTAAATAAAGAGTACACATGTCTTTTGGATGTACCTCAACAACTCAAAGACAGTGCAATAGAAACTTCAAAGAAAATAGAAAACAAAAAAGAAAATTCAGATGTTTGTCATCCTGTTTGGAACTATGAGATATCAGTGAGAATAGGCATCCCACCTAGGATATCTGTAATACTCTGCAAGGATATGCATATAGAAATGAGAAAGGTACCTGCAGATACATCATCAGCCACCAGATCAAATTTTCTGTCCACTTCAAGAAGGCATCACTCTCTCATGAAAAACCAGCTTAGGGAGTGGAACTGTGTCTAGAATAAACACAGTAATTTAAAATTTCATATAAGAATCCCAACAGAATGATTCCCATAAATGTAGAATCTTCTGAGAGAAAGAGAGACTGTAAATTATTCCTATGTGACAAACACAGGGGTAAGTAATGACATATGAAAGTCCCAGCTGTAATAAAGTGTATAAACAAAAATTTCTCAAGACAAGAGAGACTTTTTCTTTCTTTTTTTATATTATTCAGTAGAATGACTTGTCAACTGCAGACACCCTTGTAATTGTTAACAAGGGTGTTGAGCAGTATAGAAATGCCTGGGTTGCCATAGGTATGGACCCAAGTAGTAAATAAGCAGGTAATACAACTGTTATGGATTCCATCTGGCTTGGAGAAATGGCAAACAGAATCCCAAAGTTGAAGAGACAGCAATATGACATAAATAGAATTGTATAAGTATATTTAAATACATCAATATGTTAGTCATTAAGTTATTCTCTAATAATGGGTACCAAAATCAGGAAGTCTAAGACATTGTCAAATGGCAAGTTTATGATATATAACCCAAATTCAGTTACTAAGGTGTTTACATCATGGAAAATGGTTCAAATATACAAGCCAATTCATAAGGATGGATAGAGCAAGGTCCATAGAGTGAGATTCAACATAAGGTCTAAATAATTTTTTTTTCAATGGGACATAGTAAATAGTCTTTGAAAGGAGAATCTGGGTCAGTTAGGGTTATGCTAACACAACTGGTGAAAAACAGTAGTTACCTTCCCTCACATCCCAATGTCTTCATTTGGTTCCTAGAATTTAAAAAAATGTAGGAGGAGCATCGAAGGCATAAATGTCAGATCTTCTCTTACCTAAAGCAGTAACAGAAGAAAATATCTTCAGCGAAAGATAATAGAACAAGAAAGTTGCTAAAGTTTCAAAACAACAAGAAGCAAGAGATTGTATTTAAAAGACATGAGTCAACTGAGGACAGTGTCAAGGTCTAATGATAAAATAAGCAAAAGGCTCTAAAAAAATCAGTGAAAAGTGGAGATGAGAGAGAGAGAGAGATGACTTTTTGGCGATATCTAAGTGTGGTAGTTTTATAAAAAGAAATCATATAAGCCATGATCACGAAATAAGAATATGAAGAATGAAGTAATCTGTTAAAGAGTTTGAGAGAGACAAAATATAACTTATATGACATTACCTCTAAACTCTTTACATGGTCTCAGTAATTTTGACCAATCTTT